CACCTTCGCCGCGTTCTGCTACATGCTCACCCTGGTGCTGTGCGCCTCCCTCATCTTCTTTGTCATCTGGCACGTAAGGCCGGGCTGGGGGCGGGGGACAGGGGGCGCGCGGGGCAGGAGGGCTGGGGGGCTCGGGGCCCTGGGGACACTTGGGACCTCCTCTCCTCTCCGCTAGCCCCCTTCCGCAGGCTTTGTATCGCCCCCATTAGCGCCCCCATCGCCAGCTTCCTTCCCAGGGCCGCCCTTCCTTTGCCGCCCCCGCCTGTCTGTGGTTATGTCAGTCGATCCCTGACCCCCTTCCCCTACCCCATCCAGACGTGGGGTGGGGGCCGGAATTCTGCAATTCTTGCTCCTTCGTCCCCTTCTCCTACCCACCCCCAATTCATTCAGCCGCCCCCGTTTGTCCATCGGGGCAGTTTGTCTGTCAGTTCGGCCCCCCCCCCCTTTGTGGGTTTTTCCAGCCAGAGTGATGGAGCTGGTTGCTATGGCAACTGCATCTGTTTACAGGACCCATAGATCTCAGAGCCCATTAACCCCTTACCTTCCCAGCCCCCTCCCTGACCAAGCAGCAATTGGTTCTAAGCACCCCCAAAGACATACCCCCCATGGGCTCACCTTGGGCTTCCGGACCCCTTCCTGTCTGGGCTTCCCCGCCGCCCAGGTTTCTTCTCCACTTTGCAGCTTCCCTTCCTATCCCTGCCCCCACTTTCCTCTTTGTCTTTCGTCCCCATGTCCCCCTTGGTCTGTCCCTCACCCTGTCAGCCCTCACCCTGATTGCCCCCCAGAGAGGGTCCCTCGGCCTCATTCTCTCAGTGGCCCCCTGCCTGGCTCCTTTCCCCTCGCTAGAGGACTATCAGTCCACCTCCAGTTCATTGTTGGGGGCCCCTGGCTCCCCTTTCCTGCCCTCCTTCTCCTTTGTCCCTGAGGATTCTGCCTGCACCCCACTCCTCTCCGTGCCCAGCTCTCATCGCCACCCTGGCTGGCTTCACTCTCCTGGCACCTTCTGCTCACGCCTCCTGCACACACCTCCCTGATCTTCACCCCTTTGGGGGCCTCTCCCCCCGCTGCAGCCTCTCCCCCTGCACCTCCCTTCCTTCCTCTCTCTCACTCCCCATTGCCTCACCTGCTTCTTTCCTGCTCTCCCCACTTCCTCTTTCCCTTTCCTGGGAACTGTTCCCTGCTCCGTGGTCACCCCTAGGCTCTGAGGGGCCTCCCCCCTCGCTATCTGCGGTGCCTTCCTCTTTTATATTCAGATCTCAGCTGACTACCCACCTCCTGTGATCAGTGAGCCCCATGGCGCCCTCACCCCCACCTCACCTCCAGGTCTGCCTCTCCGGGCTTGGCCTGGTGCTGTCTCCGTGGGTCTCTCAGCTGCTTCTTCCTTTCTCTTCCCTCTTCTGTTTCTTTCCCCCACTCCGTCCCCGCCCCTGGTCCAGCTTGGTATCTCAGGCCTCCTGTCCCACCCCTGGGACCCTGTACAGTCCTGTGGGGTGGGGGGTGGGACAGGAGGGCTGGGCTCCTAAGGACTGGAGGCAATTGAGGGCCACAGCCTGGGGAAGACAGCCAACCAGTTCCTGGGAGAAAGACTGGATCCTGGAATTCCACAGCCCTATCAGAGTCCCCGTCCTCAGCAGCATCTCAGAGGGTCCCCCATCCCTCAAACCACATTGTGGGGGCAGCCTGAGGGCCAGGCCCTGGGGCTCTGGGAAATCTAGGATGACTAAGACTCAGGCTGTCCCCTCGTGGAGGTCCCACTGTGGGAGAAGGCCCAGGCTTTGTTCATTCAACAACTATTTACTGAGCACCTACTGTGTGTCAGCACTGTGTTCACTCGGCATTTAGCTGTGTGATCTTATCAAGTCACTTGTCCCCTCTGAGCCTGTCTACATAAAGTGTCCGGAGCAGGGCCTGCTAAGGGGTTGAGGGATAGGGGGCGTGGTCCTCCATCCAAAGCTGGTAAGAACTAGAACCTTCTAGGGCAAGGACCCCAGATCCCACTCCAGACCCTGCCCTCAGGCCCCACTGGTTGCTAGGCAACCCTGGTGGTGAGTGACGTGTGTCAGCTGTCACCATGGGGGATTGTTTGTTCTTAGGGGGGCTGAGTCAGCACCAGGCAGCCTGGGGGGTGGGAGGCATGACACCCGCCGCCTGCTGGTGGTGCCAGCTTTGGGGCAGACAGACGGCACCCCTTCCGCTCCCGGTTAGACCCTATTGCTGTGCCTGTGAGGCAGGCAGCTGCTCAGAGTCAATGGGGAGATGGCGGGGGGGTGTTCCAGATGGCCCCAGCTCTCTCCAGGAAGCCCACGTTCTCTCCCTCCGAGCTGTCTGGGGTCCGGGATGCTGGGGGGGCGGTGGGCCCGCTGCCTCATCCTAGGACTGGAGCTGAGGGGAGGGGACCTTTGTGGGCTCCTCTGCCAGCCTTCCTGTCCCAAGTCACCCCAGGTCCATCCCATCAGCCCCTCAACCACCTGCTCCCCCACTAGGGTTGCAGAAGGCATCTTGGGCCCCTCTGCCTTCACCCCATGGCCAGCCAAGCCCTGTGGATCTGGCTCCTGACAGCTCTAGAGTCCGCTCACGCCTCCCCATCCCCACATCCACTCTCCTCACTCACCACCATCAACCCCTCTTCAACACTCCAAATCTCCTCGATAGTCTGGCCTGAGTACGACAAGGTGGCTAGGAGTTTGAACTCAAACTGGGTTAGAATATCAGCTCCACCACTAGCTAGCGATGTGGCTTTGGACAAGTCACTTAACTTATCTGTGTCAGTTTCCTCATCTGCAATTCGCAAGAGCTTGTTGCAAGGACTGAGTGAGTGAACATGCATGGAGCCTGCTGGCAGAGAGTAAGCACCGCGTTTACGTCTTGGCTGTGACTATTATCCATTTTGTACCTCCTGTTCGCACAAATCTGAAAACATCAACCTGACCACACTACTCTGCTGCTTTAAGCCCTCAATGGCTCTCGGACACTGCAAGCTCCTGGGTGTGGCTTCATGGAACACCTGTGTCTGGTCCCACTGCTCTCCAGGCAGCCGTATCTTTCACCTTCCCCTCTTCTCCTCCCACTCTCCTTGCGCTTTCCCTCTAGCGCCATGAAAGGTTCTTTCAACTCTCTGTGCCTTTGTACTTGCTGTTCCTGCTGCTTGGACTGCCCTTCCCCCATTTGTTCACCAGGCAAACACCACTCAGAGTCAAGCCTGGGCCCCTCATGACCCCCAAACTGGGTTACGTGCCCAACACGGAGCTCCCAAGGAATCTGGCCTGGGTCCCTCTCATACCCCACAGCCCTGGTCCCGAGCTTGGGGGTCCTCAGGGCAGGGGCAGCCATGTTCCAGGTCTCTGACCCAGTGCCCAGCCTAGGTTCATGTCTTGGGATGTTTGCATGGAGCGGCAGTGGACACGGGCCTGGACATCGGGACGCTAGGGTTCCATTCCAGGCTGTCAAGACTGTTGTGGGACCCTGGATGGCCCCTGCCCCCACCCCGGGCCTCACTTTCTCCACTTTTGCAACCACCTCCATTTGGTCTGGTCCCCATGTATAAATTCCTATCCCCAAATTTCCCCACGGAAGGACGGGTAGAGGGTCCATAAGCTGCTCCCCAACCCTGACGGGCACACGCCCCTCCCCCAGATCATAGCCTTTGACGAGCTGCGGACCGACTTCAAGAACCCCATCGACCAGGGGAACCCAGCGCGGGCAGTAAGTGATTCATGTGCTGTGCCGAGGTGTGTCCGTCCGTCTCTCCATCTGTCGCGGGCGGGTGCGGGTGGGGGTATGGGAAGGTAAGGGTCGGGGTAGCAGAGCATGCCCCTTCCTCTCTGTCCCCGCCCCCAGCAAACACCTGGCGCGGGCTCGGGGCTCCTAGCGGGGTGGCCGTTGCCTTGGAGACGCGGGTGAAGGTCCTCCATGGTGACGGTCGCCATGGGGACTGCGCGGCTTCTTCCCTGCCGCGCCGAGGACGCCGCAGATTGCTGTGGCGCCCCCTAGCGGCCACGTGCAGGGCAGTGTGGGGAGCGGGAGGGTGCCCCCAACCCCAGCTCCTCCGCCTCCCTCATCGCGGCCTTCTCCTTCCCCTACAGCGCGAGCGTTTGAAAAACATTGAACGCATCTGCTGCCTATTGAGGAAGGTCAGTGTCAGGGCTGGGGGCGGGGGTCCTGGCCTAGCTTGTCCCCTACTCTGTGACCTGGAGCCTGGCCTCCTCCCCTTTGGCCTGTTTGATCCACTCTGCCATGTGGGTGGGAGGAGGAGGCTAGAGGCCCTTCTAGTCCCAGAGGTCATGGCGATAGGCCCCTCCCAAACCCCAGCTCCCCCTGGGCCTTGAAGCTTGGGTCTGCCCTGGCACCAGGTCACTGACCTCTCTCTCACTCCCCAGCTGGTGGTTCCAGAATACTCCATCCACGGCCTCTTCTGTCTGATGTTTCTGTGTGCAGCAGAGTGGGTCACCTTGGGCCTCAACATCCCTCTCCTCTTCTACCACCTCTGGAGGTGAGAAGGCTGCAGTCTCAGGGAGGCATGAGCTGAGAGAAGCTGGGGCAGGATAGGGGGCCGCCTGGGTGCTGGGTACTCAAGCCCCTCCCGCCCCAGGTACTTCCACCGCCCTGCGGATGGCTCTGAGGTCATGTATGACGCGGTCTCCATCATGAATGCTGACATCCTCAACTACTGCCAGAAGGAGTCCTGGTGCAAACTCGCCTTCTACCTGCTCTCCTTCTTCTATTACCTGTACAGGTGAGGCCCTGCCCGTGGCAGTCAGGACTCAAACAGACGGGGTGCTCCAGGCATCGGGCCTCCCATCCCAGGGGTGGACAGGCCTGCCAGGGTCACTTTCCTTGCCCTTAAGGGTTGAGGGCCACCCAGGGTAACAGATAGGCAGCTGAGGGGCTGGGCTGGCTCAGAACTAGGCTCACCACCTTGTCTTCCTGCAGTATGGTTTATACGTTGGTGAGTTTCTAAGGGGGAAGCCGGCCAGGGAGCGAACGCAGAACGGACCGGACGCCTGTGCACCCCCAGCCCTGCTCCTCGGCCGCAGAGGCCTCAGCCCTGGGGAGGGAGGGGGCACTGGTGCCCCCAGCCTCTCCACCCCCCAAACTGCTGCTGCGGGGACCCCCCCGCCTTCAGAGCCCTCTTCCTTGGACTTGGGCTGGGCAGAGCTCCACACAGGCCAGGGGCTCCCCTGCCAGCCATGGGCACAGCAGTCAGTCCAGGAAGGGGTGGGACCTTGGGCCTTGGCCACTTCGGGGGAAGCCTGGGCCCTGCCACAGGGCAGGGCTTGATCCTGGGAGGATGGGCCAGCCCCCTCCATCCCCACCCTGAGGCTCCCCCTGCAGGTGTGGGGGTACCTGCACCAGGAATAAGCAGGCTCAGCAGGGGACAGCCCCACCCCTAGTCTGCCCTCCCTCCTCCCCCCAACCCCCGCTCTCTCTCCAGCCCCATTCCTGTCCGACTTTCCAACCCCACCCCACCCTGTCTCTTGGACCTATTTTATATGTCGCCTGGAGGAGTGCAGCACCCCCTCCCTGGCCATTTGTGACAAAATACGAATAAACCACTGCAAACACGTGGGCCCCAGTTCTGCTCCTGAAGGCTTGAAGAGGAGATTGGCAGGGGTAACTGTGTAGGGGAAGCTCTGACCTAACCCCCAGCCCAGCAAGCCTGGCCCCATGAGACCACAGGCATTCTGGGGCCCCTCTCAGAAGGATGGAAGGCCTCTGAGGCCTCCCTGGCAGCTGCCCCTCCCAGGCTCGCGTCGGACTCCAGGTAAATGCAGCCGTGGCTGCTGTGGCCCTTCCATCTGCCCTGCAAGCCCAGTGTCAAGTCTCCACCCGCAAGGAACCTCCCTGGGCCCGCTCCCCCAGACAGCCCAGCCTGGTCCCACGGCGGCGCCGAGGCCCTGGGGGTCCGCAACTCCTCAGGCCCCAGGAACGAGGGTCAGAGAAATTAAGGAATCAGATCTTCAATGTATGGAAAAAGCAGTGCCAGAGGGGGTGCAGGGGTCACTGGATTGGGGAAGCAGGGGTCACCGGACCAGGTGGAAGGTTAGCCAGTATATGATGAGGGGCTGGAAGGCCGCCGCCCCCAGCGTCAGGTAGAGCTGGAGGCGCTGCCGGGGCGCCGGGCCCGCTATGCTGTCGGGGCTCAGGGCTGCTGTCCGCAAGGAGCGCACCTGGAAGAGAGGAGAGCTGAGGCCAGCTGGGCGGGCCAGGCGGGTTCCACCTCCGACCCAGGGGAGGGGCACCCCAGACTCACGATGAAGTACATGAGCGCAGTGGAGGTCCAGGCCAGGGCCACGTAGTAGCCATCGCTGCCAAACAGCAGCCCCGTGAGCACACTCAGGATCATCCTGCAGGTGGGCGGTGGGGAGAAAGAAGACTGATGCCCCCCGGGGCCCAGGCCGGAGGCTGCCTGCCGACCCTCATCCACCACTGGGGCCCTTGACCCCCAATCTGCCCCCACCTAGGGACCCAGACCCAAAGGAATCTGGAAGGCCAGGACTCAGCCCAGAGTCTCCCTCTGCTACCCTAGCTCCCGGTCCTCCTCCCCCTGGCTCCCCCCCCACCGAGCATAACTGCACAGGTCCTCGGGAGACTGGCTGTCCTCTGGCCAAGAAGAGCGGAGCCTGAGGGGGGCAGCGGCACATCCTGGGTCAAGATGTGGGGCCACAGCTAGGCAGGACCAGGGCCGCAGGACCCTCCCCGGGCCAGCCTCCCGCGGGCCCCACAGGCGCTCACCCCACATATTTGTAGCCGCTGTAGGCCAGCAGGTGGAAAGTGCTCAGTTCACTGCGCACGGTGGCCAGGTAGAGGCCCAGAAGCAGGGCCAGCACCTCCATCACGACCCACACCAGCGCCGTGCTGGCACACAGGCCCAACACCTCTGGGGAGAACCTGTGGCCATGGGTGGGGGAAGGGTAAGAGCCCCGGGGCTGGGGGGCATAGCCTCCTGGGAGGTGGAGGGTGTGGGGATGGAGGGATGGGGAGGGGCTGGCACGGACCTTTTCTGAATGCCCAGTGCCATCCCAGCCAGCAGCACGTAGGTGATGAAAGCCATCGCTGCCAAGAGCCAGAGAGACACCATCAGCCTGACCTCCTCACCTAGAACCCCCACAAAGCCACCTTCCCCCAGACTTCCTTTCCTGCATGTCCCAACCCAGTGCCACCTCCACTCAGCTCCCGGTGCCCTGCCTGGGATGTCTTGCCCTGCCTAGCCCCTCCCCTGTTTAAATGCCACCTGACCCTTCTCCTAGGACCACCCAGCCGCCCCCTTTCCTGCCGCTGTTAGGGAACTCAGAGTTTCCTGTCGTGTCTCAGAAACTGCAGCATGGGCCAAGGCCATTGCCCATCCTAGGACAACAGGCAGGGGCCACACTGGTTTCCAGCAAGACTCTAGGATCAAAATGCAGGCTCAGCGGACAACCCTGGCTACCCCTGGAGTTGGGGACCATGGGGACGACCTCGCCTCAGCCAGAAATTCTAAGTCTGGCCACCTGCCGACACAGAGGACTCTGGGTTTAACTCTGAGCTGTTTCACACGGCTCAGAGCTACTGGGAGCAGGGCTTTAGCAGCAAAGTTAACTCATCCATCCTGTCCTCTGCCTTCCTGAAAGCCCCAAAACTGATGTGCCCACAGAGAGGGCCCAGTGTCTGGAGTCAGCAGCCCCACCATCGACAGGCTGTGTGGCCTCTCTCTGAGCCTCAGCTTCACATGTAAAATGGGTATGCCAGTTCCAGCCGTACATGGTGGCTACGAGAGGTCAACGGAGTGAAGGATGGAAGACGGTTGTCCCTCCTGGGCTCCTGGGCTGCTGCCCGCCTGTGACAGCACCGGCAGCTCCTCGGAGGGCTGGCCCTGGCACACCCACCCTGCCTGCAGCTCAGTGTGTCCACTCGGGGCCTAGCCATGTGCAGCTACCAGGATGCAGTCGACCAGCCATGGCGGTCTGGGCAGCCTGACCAATCCCATGTGGACAGGCAGATGTGGGGGCCCAGAGGGAGCAATCATCTGCTCAGGCAGTTCAGGAAGGCTTCCTGGAAGAGGGGATGTTTGAGCAGACCTTGGAGGATAAGCAACAATAACGACAATGGCAGCTGAGTTCCTGGGCGCTTCCAGCATGCCAGGTGCAATCCTTGGGGGTTGGGACTGTTGTCTTTCCCGTAAATAACCAGCCTAAGGTCCCCCAGCTGGAAGTTACAGGCCCAGATCTAAACCCAGGGCTGCAGCCTGGGAAAACACGTGGTCCAAGATTCAAGTCAAAGAGGCAGGAAGGTGTCAATAGTGAGCACCCTGAGGGCAGTGAAGGAAGTAAGCTCCTTACTGGCCACCTACCCTGTCAGCCTGGCCGATGCCACACACAAAAAGCACTAAGAGCAGATGCTGAATCAGCAGATGAGCCTCTCTCCTCCCCCTCGTACCTCCCGGCACAAGTCCCCCCCCACACCCCCCAGCCCTGGTCTGAGACTCACTGGGGATATAGAGGTCAGGGGCATTGAGGTCTTGCCGCGGGGGCAGAGGCACGTCACGACTGTACTGCACTTCCCAGTTCTGGCAGCAGCAGCAGTGGCCGGGGCAGAAGACACAAAAAGAGGGGAGAAGGGGGTTGAGGTCTTGAGGCTAGACTCTGGGGCAGGATGAGAGTGGCAATGGGGGCCCACCAGCTCATGTGGTAGGCAGCTCACCTGGTGTGTGTAGGGGAAGACCAGTAGCCCTAGCTTCTTGGCCACATAGGCTGTGTCCACGGCGAAAAAATACTTGAGTTTGTTCACAGACACAAAACGATGCAGCTGTGGGGCGGGGGGGCGGGCAGAGGGGAGAGAAGGCTGTGGGCAAGCTGCTCCCTGAGCCTCAGCACCCCGAGCCTCAGCACGCTCCTCTGTGTGCTCCTACCCTGAGGGCTGCTGAGAGGATCAGATGGGGTCCTGTGGTGCCCCAGCCCTGGCCACATATACTGCCACCCTTGCCCTGGGGCGGGCCACACCTCCTTGTGAACCATGTCCTTCCCATGGGATGCGATGGAGCTGCCATAGGCCATAGCCACGTTGGCCATTGGGTCTCCCAGCAGGTGGTTGACATTGAAGGCCACGTCAGCTCCTGGGGCGGGGTATCCCCCTGGCTCGCCGGAGTAACCACCGCTTGTGTCATCGAAGAGGGGAGGGGGATCCGGAGCTGTCCGGGCCCTGTGCTTGGAGCCTGCGGGATTGGAGGTTCCAGAGTAGGTGACAGGAATGGCAAGCAGAAGCCCAAACCCCCGCTACCTCTCCAGGCTGGGCAGCCCTGGTGCTGTGTGGTTCCAGGGCACCAAGCAATCAGTGAGGGGGAGCTAACCCAGAATGAAGAGCTTTGGTGGGGGACCGTTTGTGAGAGGTGCTAAATGTCGGCAAAGAAAGAGCTGAGACAGCGCTTGAAAGTGGTTGCCCACCTGGGGGTCCCGGGAGTGGGGGCTTCTCAGGGGAGTGACCTCTGAACTGAGCCGTGGAGACTGAGCAGAAGTTTGCTAGCGGAGATAATACTTGGGAGGGCATCGCCACGTGAACAAGGATGGGAGAGGATGGGAGAAGCGACGCTGGGTACCCGAGGCCTGGGCAGTGGTCGGGAATCCCACCAGACTCATGATAGGAAAGCAAAGCAAGTTCTGGAGGCGGACTCCGTTCGTGCCCAGGTCGGCATGGGGATCCTAGCTGTGCTGTCACCGCCCTGATCTCAGGATTGGGCCGAGAGGGCGAAGTCCGGGACGCGTTGCCGAGTCGTACGGGGCAGGAACCCGAATGACCCCTCCTGCCAGTCGGGCCGCGCCCCGCTCGCCCTGCGCCCCACGCACCGTGGGCTCCGTAGCCCAAATGATACGCCATGGCCGCGACGCTTGTTCTTCCCGAGGGCCCGCTGCGCCTCCTCGTGGGTACGAATGCTAATGAGGCACCTGCTTCGCCCCCTGGGCACCGGCCGAAGTTACTGGACAGACCGACACGTCCCTCCGCTGGGTGACCACGGCCGCCATGTCCGCGGCATCACCCTCCACCGCCTGCCATTGGCTCCTCGGCTGCGCCGGCTTGCCCCTCCCCTCTCCCAATTGGCTACTGGGCGCTCCCTCGCCAAAGCGGATTCGGCAGTAGTCAACTTCCGGACGCGGGGTAGGCGGGGAGATTCCAGGCGCTCTCGGATTGGAGAGTGGGCTTGCTAGTCCGCGACAGGAGCAGCCAATAGATGGGTAAAGTAGAAAGGTGTTGAGAATTGTTTCTACGCCTGCGCAATGGGGCGCTTGACGCTTGACCTGCCACGACTACACCAGGCGGAGGCGGGCGGAGGGAGGTGGCGGCTGGAGTCCGGGAACGAATCTTTACTCGCGGGACCTACTCCAGTAGGGCATGGGGCGGGCGGACTCTGATCAAGCCCCGCCCCTTGGGGCTCCTGCCCCTCCTCCGGGCTCGCCTTCCTCCCCTGCCGGTCCACTCCCCACCTCATGGGGCCGAACCCCGGCAGCCCTGGAGGTGTTGGTGGGAGGGGAGGCCGGGCAGCGACAGCGCGTCCCTGCGAGCCCCGGATGCTGGCTCCGCCTCCCGCCTCCCATCCCTTCTTGCCCCGCGGTTGCTGTCCGTTGTCCGGTGCTGAAATGCCCTCCCGCGTCCGCCGCGGTCCTGTAGACCCTGAGGGGCCAGCTGCTGGGAAGGCCTGGGGTCTCGGCTCCACACACTCCTCCACACCTCCCGCCACCCCTACTGCACAGATTGAAGGACTGAGACCCAGAAGATCCGAAGTCCCAGAGAGTGGGTAATATAGTTGGGGCAGGACCCTGCACCGGACCTCTCTGGTCGGCTCTCCCGTGGTCCAGCCGATTTGGGAGCGGAAGTGTGCCGATCCACCTTCTGAAACTGCGGCCGAAACTACTGAGTGATCGCCGCCCCTGCGGTCTTCTCGAAGTGAGGTCCCCAAGCCGCACTCGTGGTTCCAGGCCCTCCTTTCTCTCCACTCAGGTTCTGACCATTCCCACCCTCCAGAAGACAGTCCTCAGAGGCCTCCCTCACCGACCTTCTGCCGCCACCTGCTGTGGTGCAGGATCAGGTCTTCTGCGACCTGCATCTGATTAGCTACCCAGTGTCCAGTTACACCAGGTGACCTTCCTGTTCCCTGAGCTTAGCCCACGGGATCCAATCGCAGTGTCTTTGCCCGGAAGGCCCTTCCCCCTCATACCTACTTTTCCAAAACGTGGTTATCCTGTAAGAGTCATCCCAGCTTGTGTCTCTCAGAGGCAGGCAGGGAAGACAAGCCTCACCTGGCCTGGGGTGGGGAACCGGAGGCCGGGGTTCTAGGCCCCCTCTGGGTGTGCCAGTTTGCCCTGATGTAAATTCCATGAGGACAGGGCCTGTGTCGTTCTCGATTCCTGTCTTCCCACTGCCAAGCACAGTGCGTGCATACAGAGGACACTCAAAAAACATTTATACCCGATAGATAAATAGCAAACAAATGGATGAAGCCCTGGGCTAGTCCTTTCCTCTCCACACCTCATCTTTAAATGGGGAAGATGTTGAACCAGATAGTCGTTGAGATGGTCTTTTGCCCTTTGCCAAAAACAAAAAACCCACACAGCATTGCAGCTCCCCATGCCTCGCCCACTGACTGTCTAGCTTGGGGGCAAGGCTCACAGGCAGGGGCAGGCACGAGGGTCTGAGGTTCTTGCAGGCCAGGAAGGAGCACTGAGGCCATACGTCCCTGGGAGGGGATCCTAAGCTTGCAGGACAGGTCCCACTCTCTGGCGCTGCATGATGAATGTTTGTGAATTGAATCCAAAACCTTCCCATCCCCATTTCTCAGATGGGAAAACTGAGGTTGGGGGTGGAGAGTGGTGGCCCAAGTTCACACAGTCTACCTGGGGTCCCGGCCCTAGCCTGCTTGCCTCAAGCCAAGCCCAGCGCCTCACCTCTGCCCAGCCAATGAGGTTTATCACGCCTTCCTGGGCTGTCAACGCCCCCTTCCCCAACAAGTGAGGCCGCCAGGTGGGGGTCTAGGAGGGCTTAGCCCTGGGCTACTCCTCAGAGGAGGCCAAGGGTCCCCCGGGGGCGCCTGCCCACCTTCCAGATTCACCCTCCTCATTCCCCAGCCGGGCAAACTCAGGCCCTTCGGCGCAAGGACTTGCCCAAGGTCGCAAGTGCGAGCGCGGCCGGAAAGCCCAGGCGTCGGGCCGCCAGGCCCCGGCT